GTCTAGCTATTGGCTCCAAGATATAATTTGTTGTGAGTGACCAAACAGGCACACAGTAAGACAAGGTATTATGGCATGAAGACAGACATCTTCACAGCTGACCATCTGTATCACCTTTTATAAATATTACGGTTATTATAGCTAGCAGTTTCAATCACTGATTAGTAGTTTCGTTAACATTAAAACAATCTTTGCTGACAATATAATAATACATTATGCTCTGAAATCTACCAAGAAGATGTAGAATGTGGCTTAATATGCCATTGTCATCCACAGGAAATCACCCTATAGTATTCATCATCTGTTTTACCTTATTTGGAAGGGTCATGAATATTAATGAGCTCTGCTCAGATGCTGCATTACTTAGTCTTTTGTGAAGGAACATCAAAATTAGACATCAAGAATTTGAAGTCAAAAACAGCTCTACAAAAACTTGACATAAAGGCAAAATGTACACTATAGTAAAAATAAACCTGACCTGAAAGTCAGAGGGATCTTCAGCAAACACTTTCAACACAGAGTTCCAAAAAACAGAGCGCGCAGACAAGGCTTATAGCAGCTAATGAGTGTCCATAATGTGTAATTACAAAATTGAAAAACTCCCAATCAAACTCTCTAAATTTCATCAACAAGTGCTTACAACATGGAGGCTTATTTACAAACACAACTTCTCCCCACATAGTTTTCTTATTTGGAATAATGCCAATATCATGTATAGAAATAAGTCACTATTCTTTAACAATTGGTTTAACAATGGACTATTATTAGTTAACCAATTATTTGATAATGCTGGAAATTTATTTACATTTACAGAATTTATGGCAAGATACAAAATTCCTGTTACATTACAGGAATTTACTATTCTAACCGGGGCAATACCTACTGGCATACATATGCTGTATAAAGGCAGTGTATGTACATCAGCACTTACTGTTTGTCCTCCTAAACCTGAACAAACCTCGGTTGGGTTTATCTGTTTCTCTGGATTTAAGCCTAATAATCACAAAATTAGATCTTTAATCTTAAAAGAAAATATGTCTATACCGGATGTTATTTTTACTGGAACAATATCTTTAATAATATAAACTGGACTCAAGTTTGGTCATTACCTCAAATTTTTTTTTATCACAAATAAGGCTAAAGAAATATCATTTAAATTACTTCATAGAGTTTATCCCACAAAATTATTTATAAAAAAATTTAAAATTGGTATTGAGTTAGAATGCTGTTTTTGCGAAAGCTTTAAAGAAACTATTTCACATTTATTTTGGTCTTGCCAATATACTCGACTATTTTGGATCAATGTTGAAGCTTATATTGCTCATAATATCTTAAAAACCTTTTCCTTATCTTATAAACATGTGATTTTGGGTTTTTATGTTAAGGATCGCTCTTTAAAAGATGCTGGTTTTATTATAAATTTTATTTTATTATTATGTAAATTTCACATACATAGATCCAAGTTTTCCAAAAGCAAACCTCTCTTCATGGTGTTAGAAAAAGAGATTCAAATGTATATAAAAGTGATTTCCAAGTCTCAAAATAGAAAAGCAATTAAAACAATTAATATATGCTCCTCCTTTAACATTTTTACATAAACTGTTTGTATATATGCATTTCCTGTAAAAAAAAAAAAAAAAGAAGTGCATTAATAACTCTTGTAAATAACTAAAATTATAAAATGTGTGAAACATATTTGTATGTAATTTGATAATTATGTACCCTCTCCTCTGTTTTTTTTTTCTCTTCTCCTTTGTTTTTTCACTTATTTCATTCTTGTTAAGAAATGTAAAGTGATTGGATTGTATTGTATTGTATAAAAAAACTGTACATGCTTGTTCTTGTTAATAAAAAAAAAAAAACTCTTGGGGAGTCTTGTGAATTGTCTCCCTCAGCTGGACAGTCTGAGGTGTGACAGATAAGTCATAGATTATGCAATCATTATGAAGCTTCCATTACTCTGCTCGGCCATCCTTTTCCATCAGCTCTATAAAAATCTAAAAATATTGAGTGCTATCTTATTTATCATTATTTCATTTTGCAATTTCAAGGGACTAATTTTCTGTTCAATCAAAGTGAGCAGAGATCTCATGTAGAGGTGTAAAAATGGTGGTCAACTTCTGCTATATTTGTAAAGTTTTAGTAAAACTGCAGTATAACTGCTACGCTTAAGAAAGCGCCTCACCTATATTTTTGCTGCAAGCCAGATCACATGCTACAAATATACACCAATGGTTAAATGGGTAAAGGAACTCAAGGCAGTGGTTCATTGCACAGGGATCAGATCAAAGATCAAAGAGTCAAAAACATTACTATAGATTTTTAGTGATTAACAGTTTTTATTGATTCTCAGGCAGATTTCAGCATGGAATACAAAATACAACTCTGAAAAGAGTCAACATTTTGTTTTGTTTTTTGTTTTTGCCCTATTATTAACCCACCCCAAACTAATCCCTACTACTACTTTAAGGTTCTGGCTTGGCTATTAGTAAATATAATTAAGGCCTCTATCTTATATAATGAAGAAAAAATTAAAATGAAATACAATAGAAATTAAATGAAACAAATGAATGGGTAAGTTTAGTCAATGACATATCAAATTTACACTGTTGACATCAGTATATTTCTTACATTTATTACTGTTCCATTTCCCAACAGTTTAAGTATTTACTGTAGATTTTTATTAATTTTTGCTTGTTTTAATGTTTGACATTTGAGAAAGTTTTAGGGAAAATTGTGCAATATTGCCTAATGTATATAAGAAATTAGTGATTTTACTATCAACAATTATAAAGAATATCTAGCGTTTTAATTGCACATAATAGGCCTACCACCTATTATCAACTGTGTGCCCATTATAAGCTATTTCATGTACAGAATGCTTCAATGTATGTAGGTATACCGTGAACACTTTCAGCTTGTCTGGGTTGAGGAGTAAAGGAAAACATGTCACTTTATTGCGTTTTAAAATACAAAATATCCATTAAAGTTCAGTTCCATGGGTAAATTTCATAGTATTTAGTCATAACTAGGTTTTTTTTATCTCATTTATTTAATTTAGACATGCTCTTTAAAACCATCCCAAGATATCCGCTTATAATGTTACCAACTGCAGAAAATATAAAATTGTAATAATTTCAGTTTGAGAGGGCTAGAGATGCACATTTATTTTGTTTAGCATTTAGGTGTTTACAGATATAATTCCAAAGACTGAATGGTAATTGCATTTCCACCTAATTTCTCAACTGCTTTTAGATTTTGTGATAGTTGTTATTAAGACCATTTGTTTGTTCTTGCTTTTACCACTCTAGTAAATTCTTAACTAGAGAACATGCAAAATCCGCACAGAAACACTAATGACCCAGCCGAGGTTCGAACCAGCAATCTTCTTGCAGTGAGGTGACAGCACAACCTATTGCCACCGCATTGCCAAAACACATTTTGTCTTTTTTTTCTCAAGTAATCAAGCAAGCATTTTTTGTTTTTAAATGATGTCTAATACATGTCTAGACGTCTAACATTGGGCTATCAGTGAAAATCTAATAATATGCCAAAACTAGACTAGTCATCAAATAAACAGAAATGAATGACTACACATATAAAGTCTGTCTAATCTGCTATTTGATGACTAGTCTAGTTTTGGCTTATTCTTAGATGTCTATTAGATTTTAGATGCCCAAGTTTAGCCTTGTTTTAGCCAAGCTAGACGTCTATTAAACACAAAATTGTTTGCTGGGAAGATTGTCCACATTTTTTTCTTTATGGATAACTGATGTCAACTGAAGTCAACAATTATGGAGGATGTTTCTGGAAGTTTTCCGGGACACAGAACAATACGGGAGATGGGTCTGAAATATGGGAGACTCTAGGGAAAAACGGTAGTGTTGGCAGGTATGCAAATTGATTAAGTTAACTTAAAACTTTTAACAAATGTATGTGAATTAAAACTTAACATATTAAAGTTGTCCCAATGAAACCTCAATAATTGTGTTGTTACAGCTCATTTTAAATAAGTAGTTTGATGTTTGTAGTTTGTTGAGCTGAGGAAAAGTAAATATGCAACTAAGTTCATGACAAATAACATTTGAAGGGGTGGGGGATAAACTTTAAGTTAAGCATTTTCTTATTCCTCTAACAGTACTTTATTTAATTATTTACCTGCCTGCACTATTAATTGTTTATATTTATTTATACAGGAATTTGTGCATTTTTAAAACACATTTATTTATTTATTTGCATATTTATTGTTTTATTTATGCAGAAATGTATGGATTTGTTTATTTACAGTTAAAGTCAAAATTATTAGCTCTCTTTGAATTTTTTTTTCTTTTTTAAATATTTCTCAAATTATGTTTATCAGAGCAAGGAAATTTTCAAAGTATGTCTGATAATAATTTTTCTTCTGGAGAAAGTGTTATTTGTTTTTATGGTTAGAATAAAAGCAGTTTTTAATTTTTAAAAAACATTTTAAGGTCAAAATTATTAGCCCCTTTAAGCTATATTTTTTTTCGATAGTCTACAGAACAAACCATCATTACACAATAACTTGCCTAATTACCCTAACCTGCCTAGTTAACCTAATTAACCTAGTTAAGCCTTTAAATGTAACTTTAATCTGTATAGAAGTGTCTTGAAAAATATCTAGTCAGATATTATTTACTGTCATCATGACAAAGATAAAATAAATCAGTTATTAGAAATGAGTTATTAAAACTATTATGTTTAGAAATGTGTTGAAAATCTCCTTTAAACAGAATGTGGGCGGGAAATAAACAGGGGGGCTTATTCTGACTTCAACTGTATAAATTTGCGTATTTATTTATTTATTATTTTGCAGGTTTCGTCCGCCATAAACAATAGACTGATGTCATGATGTCATGTGCGTATGGGGTCTTGCAGACAAAAAAAGAGAAGATTTTTGTATGCTACAGCTGATGTAATGTTACATCAGGGGGCTTTACCGAGGTTTCGTTTTCAATTCAACTGCATTTTGGACAAGGTTAGCACTAGATGGCGCTGAAAAACCTGCTGAAATCATCACGCTCGATAAGCTCAAAGTTTTTTTTTACTGTAAAATATATTTAGGCATAAGCATTTAGAGTGCAGGGCTGGAGTGAACCTACTGAGCTACCCGGATGGGTTAAGAAGACTAAGGAAAAAAAGGACAGAAGAACATCTTCATTACCTTTTTCTACTCTGTACTGTGACTGTGCGTACTGTAAACATTGAGCAACGAACGACCTAATGTACGATTCCCAGCAGATGCGTTACATGACACCAAAGGAAAAGCGACTGCTTACAAAGAACAAAGACAAACAGTGACAAAGAGATTCAAAAACATGGCAGCACCTGTAAGTTCTTTTAAGCTCTTGTCGAAGATAGGATGTATTCTTTTGTTTTAACCATGCAACCTTGTTTACGTTTGCTTGCGCACCCACCCGCTTGATATTCAGAGTTTTTAGACAACAGTTTAACAGCTAAAATGCTCTGTAAACCTAAACATGATAACTTTTTTTCTTATATCTTAAAAAACAACAACAGAGTGCAATTTTAATCAAACGCATCCGTGTGCGCTTGTCATCGAGAAGATTTGGGGTTTGTGTGTAATTGTATAGCCTGTTGTCAGCTGTTCCGCCAACTGCTTTACTTTCCGTTTCACAACTGTTGCAACATCATGTGAAAACCCAGCATGTGATTGCTTTTTTGTAAAGAAAAAAAACACTCGTCACTGTTCATAAAGCAGACAATCAGACGCTGATCTCCAGTTTCACACTCACCGTTCATAAGTCTGTTTCTGTTTTAGTCAAACATGGAGGTAGAGCTTCACGGATTGTTTGAGAAAAACAACTCCTTCGACTATGATAATTATGAGAACAAAGAACTGGACTGCCAGTCAAAAGCAGTCTCTGATGCATTGGGGGTCTTCATTCCCATGCTTTACTCTTTGGGGATCTTATTGGGGCTGCTGGGACATGGACTGGTTCTGGCAGTATTGTGGCACAAGTGGCTGAATTGCAGTGTGATGGACATCTTTATCTTTCATTTGAGCTTAATTGACAGTCTTCTGCTGCTCTCAATGCCTCTCTGGGCCGTGGATGCCGTTAAAGGATGGATCATGGGGTCAGGACTCTGCAAACTGGCTGGAGTTCTGTTTAAGGTGAGTGACTGCAGGTTTGATAATGTGTTGGTCTCATACGTTGAATATGATGTTAAATGTGGTTACTTGGTTGCAGATAAATATGAATACTGGATATTAGATGAAACCTGGTTTTCAAATGGGATCTGGTAAAGACGCTGTTTAATTTGTTTTTAATTAGAAAAACCAGAGCAGTAGTGTAATAATTTTGTGACGTGTTTTGAATATACTGTAAAATGCAAGTAGTTATAAGTCGGCTTTGTTTAAAAAAAAAAAAAAAAAACTAAACCTTTTAAAACTTGGAATTTTTATGCTGACCAAACCAAATGTTTATAATTATGCACATTTAATTATCTGAAAAAAATTAAAGCAATGTGTACTCGCTGTTTTAAGTTAACTAATCTCTTTTTATTGTGGATCTGCCTAGTTAAGTGACACGAGGCTAATTTGCTGTGTGGATCTATTAAATTCTGATCAAAATTGGAGTTTGGATTTAAAATACAATTTTATACTACAGCTACAAGTTTAATGTGGTGGTTTTAACAGCAGCAAAGAAAGACCACCAAGCATAATCACAAAGTGTGTTACACTATGCTACTGATTATTTAAAACCTCTTAAACATTGTTGCCACTTTTTAAAATAAAGTCGGCAGTTGTCATGACATTAAGAATATAACTACAGTATCTTAAATAAAATAAAATTAATTACATATAAAATCTCAAACTTTTAAGAATCCAAACACACTATAAACTATTTTAAAAGCAGTAAAACGCTGATCCTAGCCTACATTAAGGTTGAAATGACAGCAAGCGTTTTGCCATTTAAAGTGCAAATAATTCTAAAGCCAAAAGGTCAACAAGAAAGCCTTCACATTTAGATTGTGTTTCTTTTTTTCACACTTAATTTAATGGTACATATCACACATTTTGTTGACTAAAAGTTGCATGGCAACTACATGCTTATTACTTCTCATTTAGTAGAGTATTAGTAGACTGTCTGCTTAATATCTGCTGATACTGCTTCTTCAACATTTAACTGGCTTACACTATCCCTAACCTCAAACTAACAGTCTACTTATAATCTAATGAGAAATAGTTGGCATGTTGATGCAATGTAACTTAAATGCATTAAAGGGACCATCAAAATAAAGAGGTACTTATTTTTCTTTCTTTTTTTGTTTTTTAGTATAAACATTAATCAAATCTACATGTTTTTCTGAAAATAGTAGTTTTAAAACCAAAGGAAATTAGGGCTGCAACTAACGATTATTTTAATCATCGATTAATCTGCCGATTTTTTATTTGTTTATTTATTTATTTATTTATTTATTTTTTGGTCAATCGATGAATCTGATTAAATTGATTTTAATCGACTTGACGGATGCGGTGTTGCAGCCCTAAAGGAAACCAAAATAAATAGAAAAATTCTATTTCTAATTTACATACATATTTTGTGTGTGTGTGTGTGTGTGTGTGTGTGTGTGTGTGTGTGTGTGTGTGTGTGTGTGTGTGTGTGTGTGTGTGTGTGTTTAAAAGACACTAAAAATTGTAATTTATTGTCAACTGTATTATAATAACTGTTCCCTTTCTCTGTCTCTTCAGATGAATTTCTACTGCAGTATGTTGATGTTGGCCTTCATCAGTGTGGACTGCTACCTGTCCATCGTTCATGGAGTTCAGAAGTTATCTCGTAAAAAGCCCATGGTGGTTCATGGATGTTGTCTGATTATCTGGCTCGTCTGCCTGCTCCTTAGCATCCCAGAATGGATCTTTCTGAAATCCATCAGTGACAGCACAGATCAGGTTAAAGATGAATGCATTTACTTTTATCCAGATGATTCCTGGCATCGTTCCTCACGATTTCCGCATCATGTCATTTTTGGTGTGGGAACTCTTGTGCTGCTGTTTTGTTGTACCTCCATCATGCTGAAGCTTCAACGTGAGTCTATGTGCCAGCAGAAGAAAATGGGCAGAAAAACAGCGATCATTGCAGTCCTAGTGCTGGTTTTTCTCATTTGCTGGACACCCTACAGCATTGCCTTCATCGTGAACACCGGTGCTCGTCCAGTGCACATTGATCCTTTAACAGGAGAGAGTGAATGTGAATGGAGGCAGTGGACAGCTACCAAAATAACAGCCATTTTTGGGCTTCTCCATTGCACTATCAACCCTGTTATTTACTTCTGTTTCTCCAAAGAGTTCAGGAGACGCTCACTGGCTGTGATAAAGTTCAATGCTTGTGAATCAAACAATAATGACGGCTCACTTTGGGACTCTACTGCAGTAAATGTTAATACTACTGTCCAGGAGGAGCAAGGTCCACTTCAGCAAGTCAATGAACTTAAACCAAAAGTACAAACCCAGCAGCAGGATACATGAATATGTAAATCATTGACCGAGAGACTCTTTGTTTCTCGTAATTTTATTTATTATGCTTATTGTAATCTTCTGCATTGTATTTACAGCAAACTGTATTTAGACATGAGCATTTGATCATTGATATTTGGGTTTGGATTTACTTGAAGGTATTTGTACAGTCATACTGGAAAATCCCCCTCTCGTGATGGAGGGTGGAAAAGCGGGCGACCCGCAGGTCATGGAATTTCTGGATTATTTGGGAATTTGGAAATGTCTATAGCAGACATTGAAAGTCAGGGAGTTTTATTACATGGTTTTTGTCTGAGTCATGCAATATCAGGGATTTTTTTGTTTGTTGTTTTTAAGTTTAAGTGAAGTTTATTTATAAACTAATTTCAAGAGGAGCACATGCTTATGATTGATCACAGCTGGTCCCACATTTGCTAATTTAGGATTCACCAATCAGACAATTCCTTAGTCACCATAAATACCCTAAGTTTAGTACCACAGCCATCTTTGTTTTGAAAAATCCCCCCTTCCACCCTTTCTGCTCTTTCTTTCCTAGATGGGTGGCACGGCGGCCCTTTGGTTAGCACTATTGCCTCACAGCAAGAACGTCACGGGTTCAAGTCCATACCAAGCTAGCCAACGTTTCTGTGCAAAGTTTAGATGTTCTCCCCGTGCTAGCGTGGGTTTCCCCCGGTTTTCTCTCACCATCCAAAAACATGCCATTTAAGTTAATTGACTAATCCAATTTGGCACTATAGAAGTGCTTCTAGTAAGTAGTTATCTTTCCATAACAATCCCTAGATTGTTAGAAGAGGGAACCCTGGGCTCGAGGATCTTACAAGCTCAGGGCTCTCTCCCGGGACAGCAAGCCAAACGCGATTTATATCAATCATCAGCTAAGTGTAAACCGTTAAACTGTGTATTTAACAAAATGTAATATTTTTGTAGCATGTTTTTATATTGTTTATTTTTTTTATTTTTATTTTTTATTCAAATTGTTATGGTTATGCTCTTTTTAGGGCTATTTAAGTGAATTGCAGTCAACAGGCGGTACTTGTTAACATGCAAACATGCCAGAAAAAGGAACATTTCTAATGCGTTACCTACAAAATGACTGCCTCAAAAGCTGGTTGTTTAAAGTAGATGACAGAAAGCTGATATCTTGTGCCGATGGTTATAAGGATCAGAATGTAGCTATAATGTTTGCTAAATAGTTGTAATTAATTGTATTTTTTAAGTATAGCCTATGTTAGGTAGCATAAGAGGTCACTTTAAGAATCGAAAATGGCGCAGTGTTTGTGAGCTAAATACTGTTAAGTCTTGATAGCAGAAGCTTGGATTAATCATTATTTAATGTTTAATCAACGTTATATTACTGTTATAGGCTAATTAATACAGATCGACAAGGCTCTTGAAATTAAATTCAGCCTATTTTTCAGTGTAGCTTTGTTTTGGGCCTCAGCACTGTATCTTGAAAATGATGCCATGTAATAGTTATTTATTATTTATCCTAACCGTTGTGTTTTGTTATTTAACTTTAGTACTAAAACCATCTGTAAACAAGTAAGCTTATTAACAATTAAATGTTGGATTTAAAATACTCCCTGTGGCTTGTTTTGTCTGCTTAGTGCTCAGCACAACAGCAGTCTTTTGTTTTTCTCATCATTATAGATAATTGAAATTCAGCTTTTTAGACGATGATAATTAAGGTATTGTGAAAAGTGGGAACCGTGGCCAACTAGAGCACTTTGATTAATTTTCATTTTATCAGTGAAATTATTTTATTATTTTTTTCATTTATTTTTTTAATTATTTAATTTTTATTGTCACTTTGCAAGTGTTTTGTAAAGAACATACGCATGTGTTCTATAAGCAGTGTCAGATGGATATTATTAATGTCATTATTTTTGTCTGTTTTGGTTGATGGAGCTGTGCCCACTTGTGCCTGTGTGTGTAATGCGTGATCGCACTTCCGTTTGTTTGTGGTCATATAATTCAGCGTTTTTTAAAGAAGGCTCTACTGGTTACCAAGTCTGCATTTGACCAACAAACATAAAAAAATAAATATCATTGCAAAATATTTTTCAGTTTATAGTATTTTTTTTGCTACACAAAGCAGCTTACTCCAGATGATTTGCTTATTGGGGAACGGATAAAAACTACAACATTAAAATGCATTGCATCTCTTGAGGATAATATGGTTCTCAGCATTGGGGTCCAATTTCAGGCACCTACACAAGCCTTTCTGGTCTTAGAAAAGCCCAAAACTGATTAAAACAAGCTTTTGTCATTGTAGGAAAGTATCATTCACAGCTAAACAAAAGTACAGTAACATAATATCTTTTACATTTGACCATTTGACAAAGGTGCTGTATAGGACTTAGGGTGGTTCCACTATGATTACGAGCCAATGAGCCACTTTGAGGGCTGTTTAGTATCACTTTTCTTGTGTGTGAAATTGAATAAACAACACAGACTCATTGAAAATGTGCTTAAGCCTACATTTTTGTGAAACTGCAAGACATTTACATAAACATTTCACTGCAGTTTGTAGGTAAAAGGAATACTACGAGGCATTATGATCTTAACTTTAGTTCCTTTTCACACGGTGGCCCAGTGGTTAGCACTGTTGCATCACAGCAAGAATGTCACTGGTTCCAGTCCTTACCAAGCCAGCCAACATTTCTGTGCAGAGATTACACATTTTCCCCATGCTCATGTCGGTTTCCCCAGTTTCCTCCCACCGTCCAAAAACATGCAACTTAAGTTAATTGACTAATCCAAATCTGCACCATAGACTTGCTTCTAGTAAGTATAACCAGAGAGCAATCACTATCTGTTCATTAGCTTCTACAGCAGGGGAGTTCTCGAGATCTACCTGCGCTCAAACTCCCCTCTTGTCTTGCAAACAGGAGGGAGCCATGGCCTCGAGGATCTTAGAACTATCAGCTAAGCGTGAACTCTTGAATGATTTTTATAGACATAATAACCATTTCGTAACCATTATTTTTATTTAACCAAATCAATTCCACAAAACCTCTTAGTGGTGTATATTTCCATATGGACAGCTTTTCTGATGCAATCAACTGGCTAAGTTAGTAACTCACTATTGTAGTATTGTGTTGTACTTTGTGAGTTTGAGTCTGGTGAAGCACGTTTACACAAAAGAGATAAAAGTGATGTAAATTCAAGATAAAACTATGTTCACAGTGCACTTGTCTCTTACGTTTGGTTTTGAAAACACTACTGATGGTTTTTATTTCAGTGATTAGCTGGTCAAGGTGATCAGTACGACAAGGGCCGAAGCAAGCTGAACTGCCACTCTAGGCAGAGGACAATCACACCGCCCTCAACCCCAATGTGAAAACGAAAGTGACCGGTTATGAAAATAAAGTGAGGTGTCGCGGACCTCTATGCAGCCGCCCTATGCGCGGATATAACTGAGGACGCGCGGGTGCTGAGGGGGGGAGGGAATTGTCGCCGACGCTGCCCTCTCTATACTGCCGCCCTATGCGCAGAAATAACTGAGGACGAGCGGGTGTCGCGGACCTCTAATCTGCCGCCCTACACGTGAATTTAACTGAGGACATGCGGGTGCTGATGGAGGTGTCACTGACGCTGCCCTGCCCTCTCTATTCTGTCGCCTTTGCGCGAATATATCTGAGGACGCGGGTGGTGAGGGATGTGTCGTGGACATAACTGAGACATAAGGCTGACGGTAAGGGGGGTGTTGCGAACGCCGCCCTCTCTATACTGTATACTATACTCTATGGACGCGCCGGCCCTGAGTACAAGCACTGTCTTCTCATGGACATGTACAAAGAGAACTTCTATACTAAACACAACAAAACATACCCTAATGTTTTCAGGTTCTCAGATGGATTTGTCATCTGAAAAGTGCAATGAAATATACCTTAAGAAATGTATTTCAAATTGTAAACAAATAGCCTGAAGTAAAGTATTTGCAATGAGCCTGGGCAGGTTCTAAATCTTATAATATACATTTTAGACTATTATAATAACCACAAAAATTAAGCAGCACAACTGTTTTCGATATAAAATGATAAATAATAAGAAGAAATGTTTACATAAATCAGCATAATTATTTCTAAAAGATCATGTGACACTGAAGACTGGATTAGTGCTATAAATGCTGTACACACTATTTTAGTATGACCTAAGTTTTAGTATGAAAAATGTTTCAGCATACCAAAAAAGTTTCAGTATGGTTTGAGTTTATGCAAGTGAGACAAGTGTGGTGCTAATCGACAAGAGAAAGCACCAATAATAGTCCGTACACCATACTAATCAAGCAACACAACTGTTTATTGCTGGCACACACAGCTAATATCAATTCATTAAATCATTTCTTTTCAGCTCAGTCCCTTTATTAATTTGAGGTCGCCACTGCGGAATGAACCGCCAACTTCTGATATCAATTATCACAATAATATTCAATAATCATGATTCATACTCATGAACATCATTAATCAAAATACAACAAAACTGCATAAACGGCTAATAATGCAAAATAAAGATGAATACTAAGGATTACATAAATAAAAAACAGATGATGAAACTCCAAGCAATTTGAAATAAGTATATACAACCTCAGAGACGTGCCTTTATTTGCCTTTTCAAAGACTGGAGAGCCCGTTGCAGTCACATTGGAAAACCAACACCTGTCCGAGAATACCGGGTGATGTGCCCTTATCCCACGGCTGAGCTTCCAATGTTTCAGCAAGAAATCCTCACCTTCATTCATTTTCTTTTTAGCTTAATCCTTTTATTAATCCAGGGTTCGCCACAGCTGAATAAACGGCCAATCCTCACCTATATAGTCAAAAGTTGGGTGCTGGTCAAAGGCCGGCCTATTAGGTAAGACAGAAGAGTGAGTTGATCAGGCCCACCTTCTCTCTCAGCTAGGTGCACATTATTTCTGATTGCAGAGCACACATTTAAGGTTTCATAGTCTATATTCTCCTGAAATTTGGATATCGTAGTCAATATTCAAACTCATGAAATTTGGAGAAAGTTAACCTTAAGGTCATGAGACCCTTTTCTGGTAATTTGGTCATGCTTGAGGGTCAATATTTTACCTCCTGAAATTTGGAGAAAGTTGTGACGTAAACCTTAAAGGGCCATGAAACCCCCTCGTTTCAGCAGGGTGTTTTCACACCTCTACTTTCGAAAAAGTCAGAAAAGTGGGCGTGTCCAGCTCTGTTTAGGGGGGAGTGTCGGAGGAACTAAAGTGGGATGGTGTGGGAGTGTCTATTTGTGCACGCGCGAGTTTCAGAGTCAAAATACACACCCACACAGACAGGAGAAAGCGATGGTGTTTAACCTACATGGACATCTGTAGTCGAATTATTTGCTGAATTAATAAATGTTGGACTTTAACTGCAGT